CTCCAGTACACTACCCATCCTACCACCACCACCACTCCAGTACACTACCCATCCTACCACCACCACCACTCCAGTACACTACCCATCCTACCACCACCACCACTCCAGTACACTACCCATCCTACCACCACCACCACTCCAGCACACTACCCATCCTACCACCACCACCACTCCAGTACACTACCCATCCTACCACCACCAGCACTCCAGTACACTACCCATCCTACCACCACAACCTCCAGTCACACTACCCATCCTACCACCACCACCACTCCAGTACACTACCATCCAACCACACCAACCACCACTCCAGTACACTACCCATCCTACCACCACCACCACTCCAGTACACTACCCATCCTACCACCACCACCACTCCAGTACACTACCCATCCTACCACCACCACCACTCCAGCACACTACCCATCCTAACCACCACCACCACTCCAGCACACTACCCATCCTACCCACCACCACCACTCCAGCACACTACCCATCCTACCCACCACCACCACATCCAGCACACTATCCATCCTAACCCACCACCACCACTCCAGCACACTACCCATCCTAACACCACCACCACCCTCCAGCACTACTTTACCCATCCTAACCCACCACCGCACCTCCAGCACACTACGCATCCAACCCACCACCAGCACTCCAGCACACTACCATCCTACCCACCACCAACCACTCCAGCACACTACCCATCCTACCCACCACCACACTCCAGCACACTACCCATCCTACCACCACCAGCACTCCAGCACACCTACCCATCCTACCCACCACCAGCACTCCAGCACACTACCCATCCTACCACCACCAGCACTCCAGCACACTACCCATCCTACCACCACCAGCACTCCACACACTACCCATCCTACCACCACCACCACTCCACACACTACCCATCCTACCCACCACCACCCACTCCAGCACACTACCCATCCTACCACCACCAGCACTCCAGCACACTACCCATCCTAAACCACCACCACACTCCAGCACACACGCATCCTACCACCACCAGCACTCCAGCACACTAACCCATCCTACCACCACCAGCACTCCAGCACACTACCCATCCTACCCACCACCAGCACTCCAGCACACTACCCATCCTACCACCACCAGCACTCCAGCACACTACCCATCCTACCACCACCAGCACTCCAGCACACTACCCATCCTACCACCACCAGCACTCCAGCACACTACCCATCCTACCACCACCAGCACTCCAGCACACTACCCACCTACCCACCACCAGCACTCCAGCACACTACCCATCCTACCACCACCAGCACTCCAGCACACTACCCATCCTACCACCACCAGCACTCCAGCACACTACCCATCCTACCCACCAACAGTGACACAAACAGATTTCAACGTTTCCTGGCTACGCCTCCTTGAATCAAACCTCAGTATATGCCATTTCCCAGGCGCTGTATGATCCTTGCAGATTTAGCGCTTCCCCCCTGAATATAGTAATAACACCTTTTGTTACGCTCCGCCTCGATTTTGATGAACGTGTCGCGAATGTTCGGTTAATTTGTGTATTGTCGTTAAATATACGTTTGTGTTGTTTTACTTAGCCTGGTCTAAATTAGGGCAGGGAAAATGATATTTGCAGAGTTATAAGAGTCTCATAAGAAAAGAAATGTACTAAACTGAACAAAAGGAACACACACACACACACACACACACACACACACACACACACACACACACACACACACACACACACACACACACACACACACACACACACTGCCAGAACTGACATGAAGGAGTCCACACAGTATTCTTGTTATGGAGCTCAGCAGAATCAAACGTGCCAACAAAACCTGCCATTCAGACCAGCCCTAACATAATAGCTTTATTTTTGCCAACATACAAGCTTCGTAAACAAAGTATCTTTCATGCATGACCTACCAAAGAAAATGCATTGTTTGTAACCTTCACAGAAACCCATACCAAATTTTTTTGGGCCAATGTAGAGGTATAAATTTATATTATAGATTTAAAGGAGTAAATAAGCCTCAGGAAGAAAGAGATTTATATGTGAACGATTTACGTTTACCTGGAGAGGGTTTCGGGGGTCAACGCCCCCGCGGCCCGGTCTGAGACCAGGCCTCATGGTGGATCAGGATCTGATCAACCAGGCCGTTACTGCTGGTCGCACGCAAGCTGACGTACGTACCACAGCCCGGTTGGTCAGGTACTGACTTTAGGTGCCTGTTCAGTGCCTTCTTGAAGACAACGAGGGGTCTGTTGGTAATCCCCCTTATGTATGGTGGGAGGCAGTTGAACAGTCTTGGGCCCCGGACACTTATTGTGTTCTCTCTCAGTGTACTCGTGGCGCCCCTGCTTTTCATCGGGGGAATGTTGCATCTCCTGCCGAGTCTTTTGCTTTCACAGGGCGTGATTTTCGTGTGCAAGTTCGGCACCAATCCTTCCAGGACCTTCCAAGTGTATATTATCGTGTATCTCTCTCTCTCTTGCGTTCGACGGAATACAGATCAAGGACCTTCAACCGTTCCCAGTAATTTAGGTGCCTTATCATACTCATGTGTGCCGTGAAAGTTCTTTGTACACTCTCCAGGTCTGCAATGTCGCCAGCCTTGAAAGGGGCCGTTAGTGTACAGCAGTATTCCACCCAAGAGAGCACAAGCGATTTGAAGGGAATCATCATGGGCTTGGCGTCCCTGGTTTTGAAGGTGCTCATTATCCATTCGATCATTTTCCTTACAGATGAAGTAGATACATTGTTGTGGTCTTTGAAGGCGAGATCCTCTGACATTATCACTCCCAGGTCCTTCGAATTACTTTTCCGCTCTGTTGTATAGTTGGAATTTGTCATATACCCTGATACATTTTTAATTTCCTAAAGTTTCCCATATCTGAGTAGTTGAGATTTCTCCTCGTTGAACTTCTTATTGTTTTGAGTGACCCATTCGAAGATTTGGTTGATGTCCACTTGGAGTCTCACGGTGTCTTCGATGGAAGTCACTGCCATGGTAATCCGGGTGTCATCCTCAAAAGAAGACATGGAGCTATGGCTAACATCTCTGTCTGTGTCAGAAATGAGGATGGGGAATAGAATGGGTGCAAATACTGTGCCTTGTGGAACAGAGCTTTTTACCATGGCTGCCTACTACTTTACTCTGTTTACTGTTACTCTTTGTGTTCTATTTGTCAGGAAGTTATAGATCCACCTGCCAACTTTTCCTGTTATTCCTTTATCACATATTTTGTGTGCTATTACACCATGATTACACTTGTCGAAAGCTTTTGCAAAGTCTGCGTATACTACATCTGTATTTTGTTTATCCTCTACAGCATCCAGGACCTTGTCATAGTGGTCCAGGAGCTGGGACAGGCAGGAGCGACCTGCTCTAAACCCGTGTTGCCCTGGGTTGTGTAATTGATGGGTATCTAGATGATTGCCGATCTTGCTTCTTAGAACCCTCTCAAAGATTTTTATGATATGGGATGTTATGCTATCGATCTGTAGTTCTTTGCAATTGCTTTACTGCCACCTTTGTGGAGTGGGAGTATGTCTGTTGTTTTTAGTGTGTGGGATGACCCCTGTGTCCATGCTCCCTCTCCATAAAATGTATAGAATTGTTGAAATCATCAAAGTTAAACTTGAGAACATCCTGATGAGTATCCTCATATACGAAGCACCGCCAGCAACGGCAGAACAGAGCCGGAATACATACAGAGTAATTACAAGAAAGGAGCCTACAGCAGGCCTACTGACCCATGTTATGTAAAAGGACACTAGTGCAGTTAATGTGACATTTAGTTGCATTTGTCCTCTTACCTAACATATTGTCGGTAATTCTACCAAAACTACTATTACTGGCCCATGTTAGGCAGTTCTAACTCACACCCACCCTGCGACTTATTTTTAATTAAAGCTACACTAGGTTTTAGCTTCAATGACGCTACTCGGGAGTTTATTCCACTCATCCAAACCAATGCGAGCTGTGAGTGACTAGAAAGTCCTGCACTTAATATTATCCTACTAAGAGATTTTACTCTCCCACACTTAGTGTAAAAAGATAGAATCTCAGCAATCAGTTAACAACATTGTCTTGTAGACACTGTTATTAACTGATTGTAGAAGACGAAGGAAATACTGTACAAAGGATGTATAAGTCACTTAAGAAATGCAGCAAATCCCAAATGTTTGTCTCCTAAGGAAAATCTAAATGCAAAATATTGTATTCTGTGTAGAGGAGGTGCATACTAAGGCTGGTATGGTATAAGTAAACCTTAATTCATATTCTGACAAGCAGTTTTAAAAGACACGTGAGCAAACACTAAAACATATTTATTACAAAACGTTTTGGGCCTAGGACCTTGATCACGTGACCTTTGTATGTTTAGAACCGAAACTTTTTTTAATAAATTTCAGTGACTATTAAGTTGTACGGGTTAATAATCCGAATAAAGTTATACTGGTCAGGCACACCTAGACGAAATACGAGTTTCTGCTTAACATAGTTAAGCAATTTCTTTTGATTTCTAAATTTCAATTTGAAATGCAGATCACATACAATACTTAAGTGGAATTTTGTCTAAATTATTTTCAGATGGGTGATATAATATGAAAAACTATTATGGTGTTAAATGGTGTTGAATACAGATTAGTTAAGCATCACATAGCTGGTGATTAGAATCGCACCCTGGGGACAAAATTAACCTAATTTGCTTGAAATGCTCTGCTTAACAAGGGACTTTCTATATAGTAGTATGTTATTAATGTCAGATAGGCCTGTATAGCTTGTACATGTACTTGTAGAAAAATATTATATTTGTCTCAATAGGTAGAGCTGGAACTGCCCTTAAACACCTCAATATACTTACTCACACGTATAATTAATATTTATTATGATTAGCAAGGAAGTGAGTTATGTTAATGTTCGGTGTATTAGTGTGAGTGTTGCTAAAGTGTGGTGGTGCCTGGTGTGCTGGTGTAGGTTTGAGCAGTGAGCAGCCCCACTACGACTACAACCGCGATGGCACTCAGTCAGTGGGGGACCAGAGTGTACCATTACCAACAGGAGACCTGACACCTGTCGTGGAGAGTGTACTGTCTGACGAGAGTGTCTTGTCTGACGAGGGACAGCGGCAGGCAGTCAGGACCAGAGCCAAGACTTACCGCACCTCCTCCTCCAGCACCAGAGTCATCCGTCCAGGTATTCATCCTTCGGCACTCCTCATTCCATTATGTTATCACTGCATTCCATCATGCTATTACTGCATTCCATAACACTATCAAATAATTTCTTAATGCTGTCACTGCAGTCCATCATACTAAGGGTATGCTCAGAGGTGCTGCTTAGCAGTAATGCACTGCAGTATTTTACCAACATGGGTCACATACCTGAGCATAATCTGTTTTCTCATTGATATATTCGCTTCATACATTATCTCTAAACTTAGCACCACCATCTTGGCTTTATATGTACTATTATAATTTTAACTTTTCGTATGTGATGCATCTTGTTCATATGTATTAGCTTCACTATGTATGTTGCTCTTTGCCTGAATATTGAATGTTTGTAGCTTGTCTGCTTGGTAAGTTCCGTTTGCTTCATATTTGTTCACTTAACTAGTGGGTGTCTCTTGGTCTGGGCTGTAAGAGAGACTTGTGTGTATTATGTGCGCCCCACCCTTCCTGCATCACCATGTTTGCGAGTGTTGATGTCTTAAGGCTGGGCTCAAGATTGTAAGTTGTGCACCTGGTGATCTCAATGAAGATACTGTGTGGACCATCCCAGAACCACTACTTTAGCCATGGCTGGTCCTACCTGATCTCAATGAGGATGCTGTGTGGACCATCCCAGAACCATTACTTTAGCCATGGCTGGTCCTGCTTGATCTCAGTGAGGATACTGTGTGGACCATCCCAGAACCACCGGAAGCATGCGCTACTTTAGCCATGGCTGGTCCTGCTTGATCTCAGTGAGGACACTGTGTGGACCATCCCAGGACCAGCAGAAATATGCACTGCACTGCTTCATTATTCATGTCTGGTCTTACTTGGTCTCTAATTCCTCGTTGATTCAGCCTCTTAGTAGGAAACGTGTTGGTCATTAACTATAGATTGTATGTCTGTACTTTCTACACTAAGTGCTATGGGCCATTACCCTCAAACTTTTTTTACAGTAATGAGACAGACTATAGATGACGGAGCCGCTGAGAGTTGATAGTGACACCGTTAATAACTCTTCCCATCTCACACTAACACAGTCTTATTAAGTAGAAACAGTGTATACTTATTCGTTTGATTTTTGCATATTGTTGACGTTTACCAGTAGGTTAGCATGTATGCTGTTAATGTACCAAGTAGTGTTTATATTGGTTTAGTCAGGATCATCTTTAGAAGTAGAGATCTGCACTCTTACTGTGTAGATCACTACATTCTTTCCTGTTTCCCCTGCATCCACCCCTCTCCTCCTCCATACATAATACACATTACCCTCCTCCACAATTCACACACTCCTCCAACATGCTCTTTATTTCCAAACCCACCTTCCCAACACTACATTCCATTTCTTTGCACCTCCACACCGCCCCAACACTACATTCCATTTCTTTGCACCTCCACACCGCCCCAACACTACATTCCACAACCACATATCTCAACGTCGCCCTTTCACTAATCTTTAGGTCAAACAATGATTCTTAGACGAGCTTTGCTTTATTTAGCTTAATATCGCCTTATTAGACTCGACAGGATATCACTTTATTGGACTCGGTTTACTGGACGAAATATCACTTCATTGGATTCATTTTAAGGGACGAAATAAAATTTTATTGGACGAAATATGACTGTTGAGCTCACAATATCACTTTATTGGAAATGTGACTTTATTACAAGAAGTACCGCTTACTGGATAACGTATCTGATTACTGCATGAAATAAATCTTTACAGCATCAAATATAGTTTTACTGTATTTAATTTATTGAACAAAATATAATTTTATTGGACGAAATATAACTTTATTGCATCAAATAACTACTGTTTCACACTGTAGTTACTGTAGTTTCACATTGTAGCTACTGCAGTTTCACATTGTAGTTACTCTAGTTTCACACTACTTTAGTTTCACACTGTTGCTACTACGGTTTCATACTCTAGTTAGTCTGGTTTCACACTAGTTACTTCAGTTCCAGACTGTAATTAGTCCTGTAGAACGTTACAACTTGACATAGAGAAGGTTGCAGTTTCGCTGTGTAGAAACCTCCAGTTTTGTTTTCTCTAACCTGCTAGTGTGATTATTTAAAATGTTAAGTTATCTCTATAAGACATTCTGTTCTCCTACTCTTTTTACTATAAGTTGATTGTGTGAAGAGTCACGAAAGCTCTTGCAATTTCATATTTTTTCACTGTGGTTATGTTGCATATTGTGATAACATCTGTTATCTGTGATTTTATTCCATGTATATGTTTATATGCAAAACAACAACCAATTTGAAAAAAGTAGTGAACTTCTAAGTCCTTTCATGAAGTCTCACATTATCAGAGAAAGATGTGTGTGTAAACACAAAAGCGCTCAGGTTTTATTTCCTATTTTCACTGGTGTGTTTGTGTGTTGTATATATATATATATATATATATATATATATATATATATATATATATATATATATATATATATATAATATATATATTTACTGTTTGGATTGACCCTGAAGGAAGAAATTACTCACCAATTCTGGTTGTGTTGTGTTGACTGCAGCTGGTGGCTGCTACTAACATTACCCAGTGCAGCTTGTGGCGGTTCTGGCAGTCTTTAATATCAGAGTCCTCATTCTTGAGTGGGCTGCTCGTCAGTCTTGTAATTTCTTACCTTTGCTTCAGTAACCAGAAAGTCTATTATAATTACGTGTAGATATTAAGCTTAAGGTTAATTCTAGTACCTGATTGTTTACCTGTGTTTCTTGCTATACTGAGGCTTTCTAGTAGTGTGCTTGGGTTAGTAGTCTAGTCTAGCCACTTGATGGCTACCAGACTCGCCTTGTCGTGAGGGACCACTCGTGAAGGATACGTAGCCTGGCTATGTAGCCTACACAAAAGAACCTCTCTCCCTCTTCCCCCAGGTGATGTAGTGTGTTTAATGCTGTCATGTTCGTTGTGGCGGGAGACCAGGGTGCGTCCCCCACCTGGTGACCAGGTGTTGCAGTCCTGGTGACCAGGTGTTGCAGTCCTGGTGACCAGGTGTTGCAGTCCTGGTGACCATGTGTTGCAGTTCTGGTGACCAGGTGTTGCAGTTCTGGTGACCAGGTGTTGCAGTCCTGGTGACCAGGTGTTGCAGTGTGCCTAGTGCTTTAGTGAAAGACCGGGGTGCGTCCCTCACCTGGTGTAGAGTGCCTGTTTTTATGTTATGTGGGTGTAGGCGGGAGACCGGGGAGCATTACCCACCTGGTAGTGTAGTGCTGTGTCAGGTGGGTATGGGCGGAAGGCACGCTAATTGTTCTTGTGGCCGCCAGGGGACGCGGAGGCAGAGTACGACCCTCAGCGGCAGGGCGGCGTCTTCTACGGCACCTCCTATGTCCCGTCTACCCACAGGCGGGGCAAGGGCCGGGGCCGCTCCCGCCAGTCTTCTTCTTCATCTTCCTCTCCTCCCTCCTCCTCCTCCTCCTCCTCTTCCACCTCGGTGACGGGTGCTGATGGGGTGACTCGGGAGACAGTGAAGCACACCTCCCGTGGTAGCCCAGGCTCCGGCCTTCACAACACCTCCCACACCTACACTACCTTGTACCCTGAGTCTGGTCACACCCGCGGCGCTGGATCCAGGCCCACCTCTGACCCGTCTCGCTCCTCTTCCCAGCACACGTCCGTCAGACGCGTGTCATCGTCGTCATCGTCACGGTCGGCAGGAGTAGGGAGGAAGGTAGAAGAGACGGCAGAGGAGGAGACTCCGCCCATTGTGGATGAGTCGTATTTTGACCAGCGTCGCGGCCAGACTGAAGACGGTCAGGACTACTTTCGGTGGAACGGACGCGAGATTACGGGCGTCAGCCGTCCTCCTGGGTCGTCGTCCGTCTCGCGTCACGTTAAAACCAGTAAGACCACCACCACTACTACTACTACCACCCATAAACGTCCAGGCACCACTACTACCTACACTTACACTCACCCTGGGGGCTCGAGGGTCTCCACCTTCAGGAACACCACCACCTACACTTCCCATATCCCAGGATATTCCACGTCGGAGAGCCACACTGGCTTAGTCAGCTCTGGTTCCTCGCGCACCTCCAGCACCCACTATGGAACCACTTACAACCGTCATTACGACTCTCGCGGAAGTACCTCCATCAGTGGAGGCGGTGTCAGCACCTCTTCCGTCGGTGGAGGCAGCGCCAGCACCTCATCCGTCAGTGGAAGCGGCGTCAGCAGGGAAGGTGAAGTGGGTTTCGGCGAAAGCTATCACAGGAACACTGAGGAGGAGCTGTTGACACACGAGTACGAAGAGGAGGAATACGACGAGCAGTTCGCCCGCGGTCCCATCATCTCCGAAGTGGATCGTACTCACCCCTTCGTGGTGCGAGGGCTGGGAGCCGCCTCAGGTAGGACGCTACTCACATGGACGGGACTATGTGGTTCATTAACAAGATTTCCCATAGTTCCTTATTAGGGTATGGACTAACCTATTTCAACTCTGGGACCAATTGTCTTCCAAAACATACCAGAAGTCTCATTTCCTAAGTTTTCATATGACTTGGGATATTAGACAGTGTTGCCATAATTAATGTTCTCTCTACTGCTTACTCTTAAAATGTCGAGTCTCCCAGTCGAGGATTACAAACCCTGTCAGAGAACATTAACTATTAAGAACAATGGAACTAAGAATTCTCAAGCGGTGTTTTGAGGTCATTACCCTCATAATTGAGTTTGATATATTCAGTTTTACGAGTCAAACCTTTCATAAAGTGTTCTTCCCCTGTATCAAATGTTTTAAATATTGAATATCATAAATATTACGATTTATGTTTTAAAACGTCTTGGATACCAGAAGGTCCTGGTGGTGAAGACATTAACTCTGGGATTATGGTGGCGGTGATGTTAATATTAACTTGGTTGAGGTCTAGTGTGAATTTTGATTTACTATAATAGATACCATGGGTGGCCATTAACTCTTAACAAAACACAAGTTAGTAGTCGTAGAAAATGATGTAATGTTTGTAGAGTATATAATAATAAAGAGGTACTGCTAGTCTTGTGGTTTACGGGAAGTATTAACAAGCAGTTTAAGGTGTTGCAAGGTTGATTATTGGCGGTAACACTTCTGTGGTATAGGCTGCAAGGCAGAGTACTCACGGAAATGGAGAACAGCGCAAGGCTTTATTGAGACCACGTTATGCTCACGGAGAGTTTGATCTAGTCATTACCTGATAAAGCTCTGCTTGAGCGAAACGTCGTCTTAGTAAAGGCTTGCTTTGCTGTCTTTGTTTTACTCATATGTAGGCTAGTTATGAAGCAGTGTCTCAGACGTTACCCCGGAGAGTCATCTCTACACTACACATTATATAAACGATAAGAGTATTTTAGTTCCTGTTTTAGGACTTAGAGTATTCTTCACTGATAACATCTAATTTACTCCCCGAGAATCGGTGCTAATTGCTAATTAGTGGAAGCACCTAACGCAGAAAAGAGGATGGTTGAGACTCATTCACCAGGTGGCAGCAGCATTCCTCACAGATTAATAAGAAAGACACGTGCAACAGTTAGGTATCTTTATTCTGAAACGTTTCCCTACACAGTAGGCTTCTTCAGTCGAGTAGAGGAGGCAGCAGAAACAGTAGAGATGTAAAGACGATGTAATCACTGCATCACCATTGAAGACTTAGTTTTGAGGTCAGGTGGCCAGTCCCTCAGCTAAGGGACTGACTACCTCAAAACTACGTGAATGTAAATAATAAATAATAATGTAAATTGTTCTGAATTTAAGCGAGGCATTTTAATAATGCAAAATATGCTTCTAGTGTGGTTTGACACTAAGTATTGTAATCAGCAGATTACAGATAAGTTACCGAAGGACTACAAGTGAGTCGTGGGGGGTTTCTTCGGAGTGAATGTTGGGTTCATAGGTGAGTTTGTAATGGCGCTGCATGTTAAGGATTAATGGGACTGATTTTGAGCTAGTATTAGGATGAGTGTAGCTTCATACTCTTCTGTTCACGTGGCTTGCCGGATTTGATGGTTGCGTTTATTCGTCAAGAAGCACTCTCTCCTGGCACAGTGGCTCCTACACAGTGGCTCCTACACAGCGTCTCCTACAGTGTCTCCTGACACTGTCTCTTGGCACAGTGTCTTCTACATAGCGTCTCCTACAGTGTCTTCTGAGATGGGTTTTAATCAGATGATGGTTCGTCAAGTGGGTAAACATCCACTGGTCTACCCCGTCTAGGTTTTACACACCATTCAGAAAACAAGAGGATCAGGACATAGCAGTGTATCCTAAGATAAGATGTTGATACCTTTATGTATGTCCACCTGACACGAATCTTTGTCATATGATAACCCGTTCAATAATACCGATGGCCTTGTGGCAGAAGGGAGGGGGGCAAGAAGCAACTGATCTTATGTGAGTGTCTACTGAAATTTGGGAATATAATATTTCTGACTTTATGGTGGGCCACGGCAGAGCGATTGCTGGCTTACTGATCAGACTATGGTGTTAGTGCGAGGTTGGTTGCTTAATGGGGTTTAAAGCCTATCTGCTACACTAGGCTGCACATACCCCTTGCACCACCAGACAAGAATGTTTCAATCCCTTAAATGGAGACTAAAGCAAACTCCTCAGCATATATGTGGTGAAATATGCATCTGTTACATATCCTACGAAAGGTTTTAGCGAAGGTGTCGTCTATAAAGGATTGTGTAGTTTCAGAGTAGCAAATGTTGGCTAGAGGTAGCGAGGCCTCCATACCCGACTCGTCACACCTAAACTCTCCTCCATCCACGGCCCACCCTATTTTTTCTTCTCCATGTGGACGTCGTGTGGGCGAGGGAGTGGCAGTTATCGATGGGCACCGCCATGAACCAGTAGGTGTGGGTGTGGGCAGAATACCTCGCAGTAGGCCGCCCACAGCCTTCCGAAGTGAGGGAGAATGATATTACATAATTTTAATGGGAAACCGTATTATTCTATTGCAGATGAGTTTACAGGGGTTGAATCATAGCTTCTGGCACCGCGTATTAATTACTGCCTACCGGTCTTATTGATTCTTGGCCTCCAGGGCCTAATCATACCTGCTCCTGAAATTGGGTTGAAAAATGAATAAATTTTTAACTTCCCTATGGTTTTGATATGTGTTTTGTGTTTTTCTGCGCCTTTATGCGTGGACCCAAAGTCGCGATTCAGCTGTTCCCCTTTTTCTGGTACACCCAAACGGGGCAGAGCCCAGGCTATAGGGAGGGAGGATCAACCTGCACTTTGAAAAAACCAAGCGGGTTTACTTTTTTAACAAAAAGGGTTGTGATGTTTGGGCAATAAAGATCGGCCATTTACAGCAAGTCCCAAAAATCCCCGCCTTGCCCTTTATTGTTGTGTGGGTGGGGGTTTGGTGTCCCCCATGTCAGGGTACTTTTCCCTTGCTTAGAGAATTTCCCCCCTATTGTTGCTGTTGAATATTGCTTGCGCCTGCGACGTCGGTGCAAGATCGCCTGAAGATTCCTCCCCATAATATTATATTATAATATATATATAATATATTATTAATATAAATTTTTAATTTAAATATTTATTATAAAATTTGTCGTCCCGAATTTTAAAAATGTCAATTAGCAAGAACTCGTTTAAAATTAAGTTTTTCAAAAAATTTTTTTTATACGTTTAAAGATATATTTTTTTCATTAATGTTAAAGAAAAAATTTTTTAATTTTGCCCCAAAAGAATTTTTAAAACTTACCAACCTTTTATAAAAGAGCAATTTTTTTTAGCCTAACCCAACTATATTATTTTAGATTCTTTTCAGAATTTAATGTAAACAAACCCGTGAAATATATTTTTTTGTAAAGGGTTTAGAATGATTTTGGGGAAATTATTGCATACACAAATTTTCACTTGTCCTATATGGCAAGATAAAACGTTGCTATTTAAGCCAAGATGGCAAGTTCTGCCTGTTCGGCACGACATATATACATATAATATATATATATATAATATATATATATATATATATATATAATATATATATATAATATATATATATATATATATATATATATATATATATATATATATATATTATATATATATGAGAGAGAGAGAGATGGATAGAGAGATCAACTACCCAACATAGAAACAAAAAAGTTGTGTAAATAAAAGGAACGAATTGAAAATCTGAGCGAGTAAAATGTGCAGCAAAAGTGAGAGAATTAAGTCACGGTACGAAGGTTGTGTGTGTCAGTGATAGATACTATATCGAGTGTGTTCATAAAATTGCTTCCGGGTTAGTGAGACTGATCAGTTAACATAACATAATGTTGGCAGTGGTTGCCCAAGGAATTAGAACTGCCTGTCTTTTCTGGGATCATTGTGTGTGTACTCACCTATTTGTACTCACCTATTTGTGGTTGCAGGGGTCGAGTCATAGCTCCTGGCCCCGCCTCTTCACTGATTGCTACTAGGTCCTCTCTCTCCCTGCTACATGAGCTTTATCATACCTCGCCTTAAAACTATGTATGGTTCCCGCCTCCACTACTTCACTTTCTAGACTATTCCATGACTTGACTACTCTATGACTGAAGAAATACTTCCTAACATCCCTTCGATTCATCTGAGTCTTCAACTTCCAATTGTGACCTCTTGTGTCTGTGTCCCATCTCTGGAACATCCTGTCTTTGTCCACCTTGTCTATTCCGCGCAGTATTTTATATGTCGTTATCATGTCTCCCCTGACCCTCCTGTCCTCCAGTGTCGTCAGGCCGATTTCCCTCAACCTTTCTTCGTAGGACAATCCCCGTAGCTCTGGGACTAGTCTTGTTGCAAACCTTTGCACTTTCTCTAATTTCTTGACGTGCTTGACTAGGTGTGGATTCCAAACTGGTGCTGCATACTCCAGTATGGGCCTGACGTAAATGGTATACAGGGTCTTGAACGACTCCTTACTGAGGTATCGGAACGCTATCCGTAGGTTTGCCAGGCGCCCGTATGCTGCAGCAGTTATCTGATTTATGTGCGCCTCAGGAGATATGCTCGGTGTTATACTCACCCCCAGATCTTTTTCCTTGAGTGAGGTTTGCAGTCTTTGGCCATCTAAACTATATTGTGTCTGCGGTCTTCTTTGCCCTTCCCCAATCTTCATGACTTTGCATTTGGCAGGGTTAAACTCAAGGAGCCAGTTGCTGGACCAGGCTTGCAGCCTGTCCAGGTCTCTTTGTAGTCCTGCCTGATCCTCATCCGATTTGATTCTTCTCATTAACTTCACATCATCTGCAAACAAGGACACTTCTGAGTCTATCCCTTCCGTTATGTCGTTCACATATACCAAGAACAGCACAGGTCCTAGGACTGACCCCTGTGGAACCCCGCTTGTCACAAGCGCCCACTCTGACACCTCGT